ATTATTCACCAATGTGGAATCAGCTTTTGTATCTATCCATAAATGAATGCACAAAGAAAATGTGTTCTATTTATCCAATGGAATGTCATTTGTCCTTAAAAATAAGTAAATCCTGTCATATGTGGTGGCCCACACCATTAATCCCAGCACTTGGGAAGCAGAGGCAGTTGGATCTCTGTGATATTGATGCCAGCCTTGTCTACATAGCAAGTTCCAGGCTAGCTGGGGCTACAGGGAGACCCTGTCTCAAAAACCAAACAAACAAAACTGAAATCCTGTCATTTTTCACAACATGCATCAACCTGGAGAACATCATGCAAAATAAAGTAAGCCAGACACAGAAAAGCACGTAACAGAAAATCTCACATGTGGGTCAAAAGCAAGTTAAATGCACAGGAAAAGACAAGAAAGTTACCAGAAGCCTGATGGGTATTAGGATGTGTGGTAGGGTGGGAAGGACTCTAAAGTACAATTAGCCAGAAGAGCTATATCAAAAGCTCTGTTGTACATCATGGTGACTACAGTTAATATCAAACTGTATCCTTGAAAATTTCCAAAACATGTAAGCAAACAATATAGAATAATATTGTCATCATATAAATATGATACTGAGAGAAACACACAAAGCACAATCTTCTAGTTTTGAGTTAATAACAAAACTTTGGTGAAAATATTCAATAATATAGAAAGGAAAAATATATTCACTAACCCACTCAGAATAGTTCATTTGAAAGCAACCAAAAAACTATTATGATTATGATTATAATATATTTACAAGGATAAAGTAAGAATATATGAAATAGTTTGCTGTTCTTGATGCTTGAGGAAATTTTATTTGAGTTTGAGAGAAAACACCAGAGAAATAAGACTATAATTCTCAGCAACTGTTGGGAGAAATTATGTGGAGAAGAATAGAAATAAATCATGTCTTTTGAGTTCAGCTGGCTTGTTCAGCATTGGAGGGCAGCAGGGAGCCACATGGCAAAAAGAGAGTTATCTTCAGAGGATTGAGAAAGTCCAGAGCTCCAGAGAAAACATGCCTAACTCCTAAGAGTTAGAAAAGAAGAAGAGGAGAAAGTTATGCTTCTCTTAGCTAGCACTGACTTTTGAGTAGACTGACTTAACAGAGATACGTGGCCACAGTTCTGTGAAGGCTTAAACTTAGAGTGGAGTCTCTGAAGAAGTTCATTACCTCATTAAGAGGATCATTGTTCCTTCCATCATTTTAACATGGGTTTAGAGGAATCAACCATTCTGGGGGATGGTCTCTTAGCCAAGTGATTGACAGACCTGTCTGGGTTAACTCTTAAGGGAGGAGACAGTGTTATGTCATGCCTTCACCCAGGGTCAGGGGCATATTACATTCTTTTGTCTAGAGAAATAACTTTCCTTTAATGGGCTGCAACAGAATCCTCATATCCTCCAAGTAGACTCTAACATTCCTCCCTCTGAAAAAGTAGCCCTAAAGTCTATTGGAGAGTATTCATAACCCATTTTCACCATGAAAATCTGGAAATCTAACTCTGAAACTGTGCATCAGAATGGACTAGTTTTGGTCACACCCTCATGCATAGGCCTCAGTACAGATGTTTATTTAGGAATAGATGAAAACTTGAGGTCCCTTCTGGTGTTCCTGCCTGAAGAAACAATATTTTCTACTTCTGGCCAAAGACAAAAAATGCACTGTTCACTTTTGGAGTCCCTTGCCCTTAAACTACTCAGCCAATTTCTGTCTCCTGACTTAAGCATTCCCCCCTCTGAAGAGTCAACCTTACAATTCATTGGGGAATTTAAGCAATGGCTGAATTTGGATTCTTCCTATTGAATCAGGCCGCCAGGTGTGACTGTCATAACCCTCCATGTAATAGACCTGGAAAGTGCATCAGGGACTTCATTTGTGAAATGGCCAGTTGTAGTGAGGAAAAGGAGTCCTTGACTGGCACCTGGATAGAGATTTGAGGGAGGAATAAGGCAAAAGAGGCATCAGGAACAGTGGTATTGAAGCCGTTTGAGCAGAGGAAATGACTTCCTCCCACCAGGAGCAATTATGAGATAATACAGGAGTTTAACATTACAAGCCTTGGGCAGAGAAGCAGGAGAAATAAGAACAAAGGACATGTTAAAATGTCTGAATTGGGCTGGAAAGAGAGATGGCACAGATTTAAGAGAATAGGCTGCTCTTGTAGAAAACCCGAGTTCAGTTCCCAGCACCCATGTTGGTTAACAAAATTCAGTTCCAGGGGATTCAATACCATCTTCTGGCCTCTCTGGGCACTGCACACATGGGTGCACTTACATACATGTAGACACAACACTCATACCCATCAAATTTTTAAAAAATTAATTAAAAAATAAATGAATAAAATAAAATATCTGAATCAAAGTCCATTAGAGTCCTTCAATAAACTCACAAGAGGAGCATCTGTTATGTGCTATTTTTTCTTCTTTTTTTATCTTGGGTTTTTCTCTAGATGCCAAGGCTTGACCTCAGAGTGATGAACAAAGGATCTGCTTTTGGCACTTTGATAGCTAATGGAGTGGCTAGAATCACAGTGCAAAGTCCCTGCCAGAAAGTTCTAGGGAAGGAGAAAGAAAGATCTGACCATCATTTAATTTCTTGGTTAGAACAATAGTGGGCCTGTCTCTCTGGGTTGCAGGACTCACATAGATGCTGCCATGTTAAAACTGAGCCAGGATATTAGTGTTCTGTATTTGGGCAGCATTTTCCTTATCAAGAAAAAAGATACATAATGATAAATGGTTGTCTAAATAGCATCTCATATGGATTTAACCCTAATATCTTGGGAGTGTGATTCTTTGACCTATTAAAAAGGTGTCAGTCATTTTAATATTTGGTTATTCTTTCCTGTTTTGTGTTAAAGTCCATGTAAGTGGCCAAAATTAACCTTTTTTCTGTCAAAGGCAGTTGAAAGTCTTGTTCTCAGGGGTCACATGGGCTTGGGCAGAGATCATGGCTCTTTCACCCTTTTACCAGTTGTTCCATCTGTTGGATATGAATTAAAGCCTTACTAACCATTCCATTTCCTTATGAAGCATTGAGGCATTGAGCTCTTAATTGACTCTCCTCTTTGCAGAATGTACACTGTTTCTGTAATACCCAGTGGGGGGTCCACATAGCCATCCAGATCTAGAGGACAGGTAACTCACTTGAGCTTAAGCTTTAGAACCTTTGAGAGATGTGCCATAGTCCCGAGTTGATCCTGGAGCGCAAGAGTCAAAATGTAATTCTTCTGTTCACATTTAGACAGTTATTACGTAGACATAGTTATTTAAACTAGTCTTAGTAAATACTACCAAGAGGTGATCAATAACTTAAGAGAACTCTAGTGATATAAATAGATGTTAATTTGTCAAATTTTGACCCTAGCAATTTTAATATTTATATATATATATGCATATAATCTTTCATTCATATCCCTCATACAACTTACTCAAACCTTTTATGATTTGCTTAGGATTTCTAGCTTTCTCTTTTTCTTTCCCATTCTGGAAAAAAATTTCTAGTCATCTTAGAATAAAGTCTTATACCAAAGAAACTCTTGTTTTTTACCAAAAGAATCCATTCTTACCTCTTTCTAACATTTCTTCTCCTAATTGCTGATTCCACTTCATTTTATTCCCTCTTAATACCATGAGGTGTAATAACATTAACTGTAATTTAATATCTTATTAAAGAAGACTTAAATCTCAACTACACACATAGCATAATGTAATAAATTAAGACTACCTAAATACATATTATTCAACTATGAGTCTTTGCAAGTTCCCAGGTGAACTTCATATAAAACACAAGAAAGCCAAAAATATTTTGTGTTCTGGACAGTGAATGGAATGAGCAACCATAGCCATGCTTCCGATTTTGAATGAGACAGAGAGAAGCAGGAATTAAATTTTAAAAATCATCAAAGCAATACTTACAACATCCAGCAGAAATAAACTGAGCAAGCACTGTTCAAACTGTGATACTGGAACTGGCAGTTGAGAAATTTCCAGCAAAGAGTCCTCTTTTACTTCTCAATGGATAAGCTTCCAATTAGACCTTTCTATGATAGGTATCTTTATATCATGAGATAAACAATAATAATCCATTTTGGAGTTTGTTTACCCCTTAGCTGTTCTAAAAGGCACAATGCTTTATTCTAAAGCTGTTTTGCTGCTTTTTTCTCTGTCACAGAGTTAGGGGGTCAGAATGATTCAGAACAAGGGTTATGAAGGACACGTTAAGACAAACATGTTTTCATATGAAGTGGGAGGACCAAGACCCATTTTCAGATCCCTCTTCTTCTCTGTGTATTGAAACAGCACATGACAATTTTCCATTGTTAATGGATACTAGACTGATTGCCAGACTTGGCTAACATGAATAATGTTTCAATAAACATGGATACAGAGTTATCTCTGTGGCATGTTGACAGAGAATTCATTGGGCACAGACCAGCAAGCCATATACCTGGGTCATGTGGTAGTTCTATTTTTAGATTTTTGGAGAACACCGGTACTGATTTTCAAATGACTGGAAAGTTTATATTCCTATCAGCAATGCATAGGTGTCCCCTTGTCCTGGCATCTTCACCAGCATTTGCTGTCCCTTTTCATAATAATAATTGTCACGTTGACCCTGTGAGATAGAATCCCAGTGTCATTTTAATTTGCATTTCTCTGATGGCTAAGGGTGTTGAGCATTTTTTTCATGTGCTTATTGATCATTTGCATCACATTTTTTAGAATAACTGTCCATTTAATTAGAATATTTATAGATTGAGTCATTTGGTTTTCTGGTATTTAGTTTTTTGATTTCTTAATATATTCTAGATCTCAATCCTCTGTCAGTTGTATAACCAGTTAAAGACAGTTTCCCATGCTATATCCTGTCCTTCCATGTCATTAATTGTTTTTTTGTTTTTTTGTTTTTTTGTTTTTGCTGTTCAGAAGCTTTGTCATTTAATGAAATGCAATTTGTCAATTCTATTTTTTTTTCTACTATTCAGACTGGATCCTCTCCCTCTGCTCTCCTGAAAGAGAGAAGAACAATCACCAATGGAAAATGGCAACCAGCAAAGCAACGCCAAGAGCTGGCTTCATTGCTCAGGAGAGAATGCTGTGTCTCCTCCCTGTGGTTTCTGGTACTCTATACAGTCAGAGAAACTTCTCTAGTAATGAACTAGAGAAATGAGCCCTGAACCTATAGTTTGCAATTTGTCAGTTCTTGATATCATTTTCTGAGCTATTGAAGTTCCTTGGCTATGCTTACTTATTGAAGTGTTTCCCAATTAGCTGCAGTTTTATATATATATATATTCAAATGCCACTTTGGGTATTTATGTGAAAAAACTTTCACTTTTACCTTCAATTTCATATAATGCTTTCATATCTGTAATTATTCTCCTACATCTTTTTATAAATGTTTATTGATTTGAGAATTTCATACAGTGTAGTTTGATCATATTTAGATGCCCCTTCCCCATCTCCACACCTACCTTACTTACCCCCCAACTTCATGTCCTCTATTACTAATTATCTTTTTAAAGGTGTGCTGTGTCTAATCTGTGTTTCCCAAGTGTTCTTGAATGTGAAACTATTCCTTGGTGTCTACACCAGTAAGGAAAACTCACTCTTCCTCTCCCAGTTTCTATCAATGGTAGGACCTCAACATGAAATCTGATATCTTGAATCTGCTAGAGGAGAAAGGAGGGAATGCACTGAAATTTATAGAAAGAAAAGGACTTTCTGAACAGAAATCTGATCGCACAGACATTGGGACCAATTGACAAATAGGAACTCTTAAACTAAAAATCTTCTGTACTTCAGAGGACATCACCATTTGCATCACTTGAGTGAAGAGACAACATACAGAGTGGGAAAAAATCTCCATCAGCTTTACCTTGATCAGAGAGTTAATATCTAGAATAGGCAAAGAACTAAAAACCTAAACATCACAAAAAAGACGCAGTTAAAAATCATAACAAGGAAGAACAATGAAACAAATGATAAGAAACATTTTTTAAAATGTTCAGCATCTTTAGCCATCAGGGAAACACAAATTAAAACTGCTTTGAGCTTTTTTTCCTCTTACCACAGTCAGGAGAGCTAAGATCCAAAAAAACAAATGATGACAAATGCTGGAAGGATGTGAGGAAGGGGAACACTTAGCTGCTGGTGTGAGCGCAAACTGGGTTAGCAGCTATGGAAATCATCCAGGAGGGTCCTCAAAAAGCTAAAGATAAATCTCCGGCAAAATCCAGTCTGTTCCCCTATTTCTGATGTATTGCATTTAGTCTGTGTTTGAGATTCTGAATCCACATTTACCAATGATTGGCCTATGCTACTTGTGTGTGTGTGTGTGTTTTTTTTTCTATTCCTGTTAGAGTTGAGCTCAGTGACTATACAGGCTACATGGAAGCAGCAGGGGGAATTTTCTTTCCCATTTTTTATTCTCTGAAAAAATTTGTACAAAATCGGAAATATTTGTTCCATAAATATTTAGAAAGCACTCCCTTTAAATGCTGGCCTCTTATTTAATAATTTATATACCTACATTATTTTGACCATAAAACCAAAATATTACTTTTACAAATCATACTTATATAGACAAAATGAATCTAGCACAACCTTAAACACAGCCTTACTAATTTTTAAATGTCATCTATCTTTTCATAATATTTAAGATGTTTATGTTATGTAAATAAAGGAAAATATTTCTAATATTAAAATTTTCTAACAAATGACAAAATGAAAAATACTGTTAAATAAGGAAAGTGAAAAATAAGTAGGAATTTAAAAACATAAAAATTATGGAGGGAGTATATTCACTGAAGTAACTGCTTTGCAAGCATGGGGACCTAGGTTCAATCCCTGGAACCCACATAAAACATGCCAGGGATGGTGGTGCATGCTTATAATCCTAGCACTGGTGAAAGAAAGACCAGCAGCTCCCTGGGACTCAATGGCGAGACCACTTACCCTACTTAGTAAGTTCTAGGCCAGTGAAGGACTCTTTGTTCAAAAACATGTGGTAGACAGTCTGAGGAATGACATCAAAGTTGTCCTCTGGCCTCCACAGTCATGTGCAAAGATGTGCATATTCACTTTCACCTGCACATATATCCACACACAGAAACATGCACACATACACAGACATAAAAAACAAAAACTTCTCAAAATTAAATTCTACTCACCTCTCCAAAGAGCTTAATGACAACAGTTCTAATTATTCATTATTAATGACTACTTTCATATACAGTTGATGCATATAAAAATTTGTCCATTCAATATATTGTAGTTACTGATACTTTTTTTTGGTCTTTTTTTTTTTATACTTTTTGAATAGAGCTAGGACCTTAGGGAAAATATATTTATCATTATAATAAAGATGGTATATTGCCATGAACATATTATGTTATCTTCTTACCTATGCAACTGTTTTGAATCTCAGGTTTATAATCTGTAATTATTATGTATTTTAATTCATAGACTATTCTAAAATTTTATATTAAAATTATATTTATATGCCCATTTTTCTAATTACATCATAATAGTTTAGCATCCTACATTGTTTCATTTGGAGTATAACAGAAGTCCAAAAATGACATAATTTCTTCATGTAGATTTTATGGACAATTACTCATTTATTTGACAGGCAATGATAACATTTTACTTTTCACTTTTCTTACATAGTTGTTCAAAATGACCTGCAATCCATGAAATACCTTTCCAGAAAGCTGGAATCATAAATATTACCTCAGCTTGCTAAAAATAGTTATTTGACCCTGCTTAAGGAAGCATGGCATCTCCTCTAAATATCTTGCTATTAAGGATAGAGCTTTAGCTCAATGCAAAATATATGTTTATTTGGAGAATGTTCAATAAGAAAATGTGAGAAAGAGCTTACCATTAAACTTTTTTCACTTGATCTAATGGGACAAATCAAGCCCATGTTGGTGAGTTAACAGGGCAATCAGCAGTGTGTCAGATCTGATTGATGTGTCCCTCAAAGTATGGCAGGTGGTGACTTGATCACCAAAGTCCCAGACAAATTTTCCCCAGTGACCCTGTGACTAGCCATACCAAAAGAAATTCTTTTAGTCAATTGTCTTTTGTTTTGTCCTTGAAACAAAATGTTTTTTTTTTTGTTCAGCACTCTGCTTTGAATTGAATAGCACACCATGACCTCAAGATGCTATTTATGATAGAGAGGTACACTTACCTTTCAAAATGTCAAATGTGTAGTCAACTGGCAAAAAGTGATTTCTCAGTGGAGACTTAAGATAGAAAGTAATAAATGTAATTTTCACAAAACACCAGTTTTAATAGCTATCTGTGTGTTATAAACACAATGAAATTTACAACTGGCACTGAGTCAGCACTCTGTCATCTTTTCTCCGTCTTCTACAAACTCAGTGTTAAGGAAGGAAAATGCCCATCATCAGTGCACAAATCAGTGGCCTGTTCTCCAAATTCAAGGACGATTCAAATAATAGCCTTAAAAATAGTGTTTTGTCTTATCATTTGAACATTTGTGAAGTTTTATAAATTTCAAGAATATTTGTGTACTGTGACGTGCACTCTTGCTCTGCCTTTATAAACTCTCAAATATGGCAGAGTAAAAGAGAGGCTATGTAGACTATATGGTGTCTGAGAAGTTACAGAAGGTGATTCATGCCAGTCTTACCACTCAAAGTGTAGTTCATAAATCCACAGCACTGGCATTCCTGGGGAGCTTGTAACAATTTCAGATACTCAGGTGTTGCATATGACATGGCTTTTGCACACATAAACTCACAGCAGCTGTGAATACTTGCACAAGAGCTACACGTGATCAAGCCATTTAAAAATTACAGCATGGAAGGGGATAGAGTCTATAGGCAGGTGATGGCTTCTGAGGGAAGGAGAGTCACTTTTCTTTGAGAGTATAGTCATTTGTAGGTTTTCAAAGCCCCAGTGGGTGACCTGCACACAATCTACAAATGGGCAGCACTAATTTGAGTCAGTGCGTTATTAACAGAAAAAGGGGATGTGTTGGGAGGTGGGTTGGAGAGAGGAGGATGGAGGAAGTGTGGGATGGATATGACCAAGATACATTGTATACATGTATGAAATTCTCAAATAATAAAAAGTGAAGTAAGTATTTTAATGGGAAATAAAGAAATATAAGAAAGGATAAAAATGGATAAACCTATAGGTCTCTCATAGATAATTCAATTTGTCAGAAATAAGTAGATAGGTGTGATTCTGAAAGATGTAAAAGTGTGATTCTGAACTTGATGCAGTAGAGAGGTAAAAAGGATCAAATAATATTAAAAGTAATGGCCTGATAAATATATCACACATTGAGAAATTACTATGTTACAAATCCCATGAGAAAGTTTCTCCTTATTTACCTCTCAATATCCCTTTAAGATGGGCATAATTCCCGTTTTAATATTAGGGGAACTGAGACTTAGTGAGCTTTAGAAAAGTGTCTACAGTACCATAATTAGTAGATTTAGAAAATGGAGCTCAGTATCTACAGAGTTATGGGACAGAAGTGATCATCCTCCTTGGCATGATGTGTGTTGGGAAGAATCACTAACCAAAGAAGAGCTGAATCTCAACTTGAGATCTCATTCTGATTTCAGCTATCTATTCGACCTTGGAGAGGACCATGAATGCCTTTAATTTTATTTTAAATTAAATATACAATGGAATTAAAAAGAAAACCAAACTTTTATAATCCCAGTCTCAAAGGGATAGCACAATTAAATTCTTATGGAATGCAGAAATGGTTCTTATTACTTCAATACACAAAAATTAAATTCATAAACTAACAAGAAAAAATGATAAAAATTATGCTTTTTAAAAATCATCCTTTCTTATTCTCCTTTCTGAACATTGTTGTATGCCTTCATATGTATTTGTTTACAAATGTATGTATATACATTACTGATTAGGTTGCATAGGAGGGAAAACATCTTTTTAACTTTCTGTGATTGGATGGCCTCACTTTGCAGACATTCTAAGTCCATTTTCCTGTGGATTTTGTGTTTCCCGTGCCTGGCACTGTGATTTTTGTTATACAGCTTTCAGCTATATACATGCACTCACTGTATATTATAGGAATATTTTTCAGTCAGCTTATGAAATAATACATTTCCCTTTGGTTTTTCACACTGTCTGCATATTATTTTTCTTTCTTACCCATCTCTCCTCTTGTATAGCCCT